ATAATGATAACGTAACATCATGAAGCTTCTTGTAGTATGTAGAAAACTAGTACAGTATAAGTGAGTGAGTTAATTAGTTCAGTCAGTTAAAGTGTTGTAGCTAGACAGTGGGAGTTCTTTGATTAAATTAGTTTATTCGTGAATGATTCAGTCTTCGCATTGGTTACTTAGTCACGCAGTGATGAGAAGTTAGTCAGTGAGTCAATCAGCGTGTTTATTATCGATAGATTAGCGAGTAAATTTTGCTAGTTAGGCGTACATTTGTTTCGGGATTTCTGTTGAAACGTTTAGCTGTGACGTTAGGCCTACTGGTGAACGTAGCCTGTAATCTGTATAGAATATCACTGACGAAATCAATTAATCCGTTATCATTAAGCGAACTGTATTTCACATTATAGTTAGCAAAAAATCCGAAAGGACCTGCTCAACGATAGATCACGTTATAGCAATAATTTATTTGACAATACAAATAAATAGGCTTCCATGGGCGACTTTTGCTCAATCAAAACTTAAACAAATTTCTTAGGAAACTTACTGATAACAGATACTGAAATTAAAGACTAGTTTATTTGTATGTTTACATCCGGTTTCACTTAAGGGATATGCGTGGTCTAGTGGTTAATATATAGGGCTGTGGATCGAAGGTTCGAGACGTGATAGACACGTTATAAAAATGTCAGTCAATCCCGTTATTTGGTAAAAGAGCTGGTCAAAACCAATTGTGGCAGAGGTTGCTGCTAGGTTCCTTTCCCCTGACAGTAATTCCAAATTAGGGAAATTTATATTTGAAGGTTTCCTCCTTATCCACTTAAACCATCTACACTCAAAGTGTCTTTCAATGATTAAAATCACAGTTTCCATTCTTCCCATGGGCTTAAAACTTACATCACTTAAACAATCACACTGGAATCTTTACATTTCTATAGAACATCAAGGTTCTTCTTACTTAATAATTTCATCATTTCTAAATGTTCGTACTGACTATGTATTTGTAAGTGGATTTAACTGTACTTGTTAAAAATGTTAGCACCTAAGCTATTCTGAAGAAACTTGCAAATGTTTTTTATTGATATGGTATTTCAAAGACCGTGGTTTCTGACAAAGAACCGGAAGTTTTATCTTATTTGACGGCAGAGACACGTAAGGCAATAGGAGCTAATTATGTACGTACTAAACTTTACTATTCCCAGTCAAGCGTGACAGAAATATTTGTTTGTTTGTAGTTAAGCATAAAGCTACATCACGGATATCGAAACTTAGTTTTCAGCGTTATAAGTCTTCAGACTTACCTTTGAGCCACTGGAGGACGTGACAGAAAGATTTGTTTGTTTGTAGTTAAGCACAAAGCTACATCACAAATATCGAAACTTAGTTTTCAGCGTTATAAGTCTTCAGACTTACCTTTGAGCCACTGGAGGACGTGACAGAAAGATTTGTTTGTTTGTAGTTAAGCATAAAGCTACATCACGGATATCGAAACTTAGTTTTCAGCGTTATAAGTCTTCAGACTTACCTTTGAGCCACTGGAGGACGTGACAGAAAGAGCAGAGAAACATATTTCACAAAAGTTGGGATGGTCATTTACTTGGCACTTAAAAAACAAACACCAATGTTCCCAAAACTTGGGATGGTCACTTACCTGGCTCCTTAAAAAAAACGGCTAATTCAGCAATCGACAGGTTCTATATCAAGCAAACTACAATTGTGACATCATTTGAAATCAGCTTGGAATCGTCTGGCTGAGTACCTTCCCCAAGGCCTAGATTGTTCATGTTGTTTGTTGAATTTTGCCCAAAACTTTGAATTAAGAAACATCTATTTGATCATCACTATTGTAGGACACCCAAGACACCAAATTACGAGACACCAAAATTGTTGTCTTTTAGTGGTGACGGGACGCGAGCCACGGACTATCAGATCCACAATCCGTCATTCTAATCACTAGACCCCCTCTCGACCCCAGACTAATAAAAACTAGAAGTCAAGAGGTAATGTACAAGAAGCACAGAGGAAACATAGACGATTAGAGAAGGCGGCCACTAGTGGCTCAAGTAAGTGATGTTAAAACTACATCTCTTCTCTTCTACCGCAAAATAAACTTGCTTGTAGATGGACCGGCCCTTATAAATTCTGTGATGTATAAACGATCCTAGAAGTGAGGCTATACATGATAAATATCACGTTTGTTTGTTTTTTGTTTCGTGCAAACGTACACAAAGGTTATCTGCCTTAGCCGTCCCTAATTTAGCAGTTATAAACTAATGGGAAGGTAGTTATTCAACACACTCATCACCAACTCTTGAGTTATTCTGCGTTAGCCGTCCCTAATTTAGCAGTTATAAACTAATGGGAAGGTAGTTATTCAACACACTCATCACCAACTCTTGAGTTATTCTGCTTTAGCCGTCCCTAATTTAACAGTTATAAACTGATGGGAAGGTAGTTATTCAACACACTCATCACCAACTCTTGAGTTATTCTGCTTTAGCCGTCCCTAATT